GAGCAGCCGGGGTGCCGGGCGTGCGGGGGGCTTGGTTGGCCGTGCAGGCTGTGAGAAGACAGCAGGGAAATACAAGGAGCCCTTTCAGCACGCTCACAGCTTCAGCACGCTCACAGCAACACACCCGCTTGTCCTGTCACCCAATTTGGAAAGCTGTCAGTGAAGCCTAGACAGCAATCAACTACAACCGTTTTTTCCTTCGCTGAAAGCAGTGGTGAATTTGGCTGATAAAACAGAGATTTTCTGACAGTTAATAGGAAAAAAAAAACCAACCCACAAAAAACCCAAACCCGGCAGTTTGTGACCCTCTTCCTAGACAGTTCCCGCAGGTTTTTAATAACCATGTGATCTCTGTGTTTTTCTTACGTCTTTCACGGTAGCAGTGGACATGTCCCTCAGAAGAGGTAAGGTTTTTTTGCCTTTTTCCCCAAGCCTGCCTGAGTGTTAAGTTACCCAGAGGAATCCAGGTTATGCCTAGAGATGCGTGTTTAAATACTGCTCTTGGAGTACAGCCAGTTTGAACTTCTGCGTAAAAAGTTTGCAGACTCTGTGATTCCGAGTACTGAACTGTTGAAAAACTCCAGTACGAAAGGTGTTTAAATCCCCGCTGTTAGAGTGGCCATGCTGGAATATCTAATAATAAAGAAATCCAGCTTATAGCCCATGGAGGGGTTTATAATGACCTGCCCTGACATCCCATTTGTTCTGAGCCTGTGACAAATGTTGCCGAGTGGTTTTCTTCTGTAAAAACACAGAGGTTAGGAGATCGTGTCTGCTGTGTGCCTGACAAGAACTGTTTACTGAGCGAAACAACTGTGTATTTCCACCGTGGAAATACTGGGACTCTTCTGCTGAGAAGCATACGCGTGCGTAGTTTTAGATTTGTGTGTCTTTTCACTTTGATCTTTACTTCCCTTCTAATCAGAATAAGCCATGGCTTCATGCATGAGAAAGTCCTTGACGTAGGGTGGTCTGAAAACAGACGCTGTTCACTTCCTGGGCAGTCGGGAACATTTCAGTGCAGAGCTGTGCTTACAGTTGGGCTCTGTGAACACATCTTGATAGGCTGCAGTATGTGCTCCGTGAAACTCTTACGTATACCCCAGAGGATAAATTATCTTTGCTCGTGTAAGGGGATCTCTCACTTTAGGCATTATAATCCCTTTAAAAGGAATGAAGAGAAAGCCTCCCTGAACCGTTGCAAAGGAACTCTTAAAAGATGGCATATGTCAGCTTGCTCTCTGGCATAGCGTAGTTTCTTTGCAGGGAACTCCTAGGGTCCTCAAATCCGAGAAAATTCACGAGGGAGGTAAGAAGTGCAGGACATGAATAAACAGTGCTGTGCAGATCAACCTAAACTCTGATGTGCAGGAAGGAAAGCTTGGAGATGCCATTTTCCAGTCCAGTAATACGGGAGGCTTTTAACCTGTGTCGTATTTTCCATATAAACTATGGTACAGAGCAAAACTCAACCAAACTGACGTATTAGTATTCACGTGTGGTACTAACAGGCATAGTTTCTGTAACGGGTTTCTTCCGATTTCTACAGGACAGACGGTTTGCCGGGGTGGAACGCAGCGACCGTGCTACAAAATAGTTTATTTTCACGATGCCTCACGCAGGATCAGCTATGAAGAAGCACACCTTGCCTGCAGAGCTGATGGTGGACATCTAGTCAGTATTGAAACAGAAGCAGAGCAAAGACTGATTGAAAAATTTATTGAGAGTCTCTTAGCTTCTGATGGAGATTTTTGGATAGGGCTCCGGAGGAAAAAGGAGGAGGTAGACAATAATACAGAATGTCAGAACCTCTACTCCTGGTCAGATGGCAGCTCATCCAAGTTCCGGTAGGTACCCGTGAGAATGGGAAGCTGGGACTGTCACCTGCCTCTAGCAATCAAAAAGGACTCTTTCAAAAAAGAATCAAGCACTGTTGTCCCAGCTGTCATCTGTGTTCCTTCTGCAGTCACTCGAGAATGCCAGGATCTCCAGAGAGCGAGTCATCTTAGACTAACTACCTTCTCAAGACCCTGTTCTCTCTCTGTTGCTCTGTATAAGACACCTAGAGTGTCTAGCTTGGGCTAGATTGATAATTTCTGATTGCTAAAGGAGGTGGAAACACAAGCGATCTGGTCTTAAAAATCTCTGATTAGACATGTGCAAAACATGTGCTTTGCCCTGAAGGTTTGTTCCCCATGTCAGGAGCAATGGGCCCTTCTGCTTGCTGAGGGAATGGCATTTTCTTCCTGACAGTCAAATTAGAGAGCTGCAGTATTCATTGTAGACATGAAAAACTAAAATTTTCACCACACATTGAATTTCTGCCTCCTTGTCTTACGGCAACCGCAATCACAGCATTTGCTGTAATTAAAATATAAAGGCGACAACATTTACAACCATTACAAGTTTGCTGGAGTTCTTTTCACTGTTTTCACATGTCTGTTCAGCATAGAACCAAAGTGCGTTTAGTCTAAAAAATTCTGCTTAATTATTATCTAATTTCAGTCATGACTCAGTTTTCTAGAGAAAAGATATACTTAGATCGAGGCCTGCAAGGTCTGCCTTTCTGTGGTATAGAAGTAGAAAATGTGCTCTAAACATCTCCAGGTTGACAAAAGCCTTTGGAACAAGGTGCAAGCTTTACAGTGAACTTCAGGTTCAAGAGAATTTTGCCTAGTAGATGTTTACTGTTGAACCTGTGGTTAAAGTAATTTAAAAAAAAATCAAACTCTACAATGGTCACTCATTATCCTGAACTTCTTGCTGCATTTGCAGCGATTGAATTTGATTAAATAACCCAAATGTTCTCAAATATGTTGTGGCATCATGTCATATGTATAACAATTCTGCCTTTGCATCCTTCTTTACACTGAACAGGTGTAAAAATGCCTTGTTATTGTCAACTTTATACTTTGGCAACCCATAAGGAATTTTAGTTGCTGTGTGCAGGAAATGAATAAAACAGGACTGCTTTTAGTACTGTTCAATGTATTAAAGTTTCTCCTGTGGTTCAGACACTGGGGGTACGTACTAGGAAGCTTAGCAAATCCGTTGCTGCTAAGAAACAGCAACAATTATTGCCTTTAATTGGTGACACACAGCTTGCTTATGCTAAATGGTGAAGCTGAGGGAAAGATCATGGATGTGTCAGGAAAGGGGAACAGCAGTAGGAGAGGAAGGAAGTGAGCACTGTTATGACTGAAAAATTACTGCTTTAACATATGTGAGTTTTTCCCACAGAGGATGCCTGGGTGTATCTGGAATTATGTATATGGTATGGATCAGCTTTCAGAAAGCGCTTAGAATGCAGAGCATTCCTTGTTCCAAAGTCAGTGGGTATTGAACCTTTTTCAGGATCAGGACACAGCCTTAGAAGGGTTTCTCTGAGATGCACAAAATGCCACTTCAGTAATGATGGTATGATAGAGTGCGAAGTAGTGAAGCCTACTTCCTGTGTACCACAAGGAAAGGGATACACAGTTTTCCAGTGGTGAAGTTGAGTATTAAAAAAAAAAAAAAATCCACAAGACAGGGGTTTTTCATGTTACTGTTTTTCTAAACAAACAGATCGTGCTTTAAAGTTTTCATTTTCTTATTAAACCGGTGTCAGAATTTTGCCAGCATGGGGCACTGAGGACAGAGAGCACAAATAATTTGCTAGATGATTTTGCACAGGTCTAAAATGAGATTCTGCCCTCTGTGGTGCCTTGTGCACTCTATTCCCATCTGAGCGTCTGCAGTACCATGGAAATTGACCTCACGTCTCACATGACACGTTTGTTGTATTTTTCTTAGGAAATGGTATGTGGATGAGCCATCCTGTGGGAGTGAAATCTGTGTTGTGATGTACCACCAGCCATCTGCCCCACCGGGTGTCGGAGGTCCTTACATGTTTCAATGGAATGATGACAGATGCAACATGAAAAACAACTTCATTTGCAAATACTCTCTCGGTAATGAATAATTCTGTAGCTTTAAAAACCAGCCTGCTCCCAGTCCTCAAGAGGAGGTATGAGGAGATTGCAGTAACAGGGAAAACCTTTCTTAGCTTCACTGGAAAGATCTGGTGGAAGACGGATACCTTTAAACTTATGCAAGTCCTGGGGAAAACAATCTCAGTATCTAAGCACTGTAGCTATTTGCCTTGTGACTTACATGCATTGTCAGAGGATTTTTGTAAAGCATTTGAGATCTCAGAGGGGATTTGAGGGAGAGAGAACACCGCAGAAGGGTGGTCAGTGTATTCATTATAAAATGCTCGTTTATACTGACTGTATTCAATACACTTGGTCCCCCTACTACAGCTTATGAGGAAATTGTGCCTGTCTCTGTTTTCTTTTAGAGAAGCCAACAAACGTTTCAATAGAGAATTCTCAAAGAGGTAAGTTAGATATTTGTTTGGGGATTTTTTTAAATGATATTCTGACTTTTGGTAGAAATACTCTGTTACATTCATTGTCCAAGACACTCGCAGGCTGAAAACTTACTGAGCAAGAAGCTTCCCTGCAGTTCGCAGTTCCCTTGGTCTATTCTAGAATCCATTCTGCAGGAACACAGCCTTGCTGCTGTTGATGTAGTATCTGGGACCACTGGTCATGCTGCAGAAATCTAGTCCAGAGAGTACCAGTACACATCTCTGCAGCTGGTAGTCTCTTCAATCTCCTCTCACTCTCACTTTTTATCATTCTTCCACTCTTTCAAATAAGATCTGCAGTATTAAGCCGCTTCTTTCCAGATGTTGCAACAGAGCCTGTGAACCCGGTATTCCCAGAAGAAGGCCACAAGAAAGATGTTAACGTAACAGTTGTGGGAGCCAAAGGTACGTTGTGCATTGCAGAGCTGACCTGTCGTCTCTCACTGCGCAGGCGCGTGGCTGCACACGGTCAACCTGTCAGTTGGAAGGGTCTGACTCTGCGTGCAGAAGACTGAATTTAGACAACTGCATCTGAAATAAACCACCTTCCCCCATCTTTTCCAGAACAAACCTAAACTGATTGCTTTGGCTACCAAAATGTTGTAAATCTAAAGCTGTGCAAAGCATTTTGGGTCTCGAAAAAGTACTTTCAGTTTATTGAATCACTTTTGAATGTCTGAATTGCTAATGATTTGTTAGTAAGTCTGTTATTAACTATAAAAGACTTTCAATTTCTTTTTGCCACACTGACTTCCCCCCTACAAATTCATAGATCTTAAAAGACACTTTGATCTCTGAAAGCTTTTGGCTGGGGGTTCCTTGGCTTTTAAAACAGCGTATCTCACTAACTTGCATTGCCATTGCCACTTTACAGTGAGACAGTGAAGCTTGTTGCTTCGTCGTATTGAAGATTTGAGCTCATCTGACGTGCTTAACTAGATGGTCAGTCTCTGTTAGACTTGCTGCCTTTGAGCAGAAGCAGGTGTTGCTAGATGATGGACAAGACTAGAAGCCCGCTGAGGCGTGATGATGTTGGCTTTGGCAACTGCTGTTTTTTCTGTGCATGGCAAATGGATGATGGACAAGACTAGAAGCCCGCCGAGGCGTGATGATGTGCATGGCAAATCCAACTGGAAGTGAATAAAAGCTGGAATCTAATCTTTACTCCTAGAACCTGTTCAGAGTGTTGCCTACATCCTTATTCCCAGCATTCCTGTGCTACTTCTCCTGACGGTCGTTACAGCCATCTTCTGTTTTTGGCTTTTGGCAAAGAGGTAAAGGACATTTGTGTATAAAAAGTGACCCTGTGAAACCATGTCCAGGCAATCGTTTTACAGCTAGCCTCAGGATCCTGTAAGATGCTCTGGAGAGGACCGCTTTCAGCCAGATAAAAGTTCAAGTGGCATGGATGATCCAGGCTGAGTTACTTGTGCAGTAAAATTTTAAATAAATCACATTATGCCATTTTATTAAGTTCACAAACACGTGGTAGTTAGGTAATAGTGTGAAATACGATGAAGATTTTGAAGTGTTAGCATTTAAGCTTTCTTATAAAAAATTTGAGTTACCAGAAGGTCCCCTCCAAAAGTGTAAAACACAGTAACAGAAATAAGAGCATACGTTTGGAACAAATAACGTGTACCGATTTCCTCTCTTTGCTTTCCCTGTGTGTACTGTACCTCTGGTGGGGATGTTGGCTGTGGTTTTGAGTCGAGTTTTGCTGCATCTCAGCCAGCAGCAGGGTGCAAGGGTACCTCAGCAGTGGTGTCCTGCAGTGGGGCTGCCCCAGGTGTGCAGCAAGGAATAACAAATGTCATCCCGAGTCCTGGCTCCGAGTGTCAGCTTTCCTCTAGGGTCATCATTAAATTACTCTGCGAGGTGTGGTATTGCTTTGTGTTTACCTCTGTGAAAAAGCATATTGTGACTTGTCCTCTTTCCTCCATCCCTAAGGAGACAGGAGCGGATAGATACAAGCCCAAAGGAGGAAGATGCATGGCTGTCCAACCTCAGGAGGAACAGTCCAAATCTGGACATTTACAAAGTAATCAAGAAGCAGTCAGAAGCAGATCTGGCTGGAACCAGGCCTGACACTAAGAATTCTTCCTTCCAGAGACAGGAAGACAAGGTGCTTGACAGCCTCTCAAGGGATTATGATGACGCGGCAATGAATACATCAACAAGTGGCTTTGTGACATTGGCCAGTACTGAAAGTGGCTTTGTGACCAATGATATCTATGAGCTGTGTGGAGATCGTGTGGGGAGGAGCAAGGAATCAGCCTGGGTGGAGAATGAGATTTATGGATATTAAGGAACTGGACAAAAAAAGCCTGGAATATGGATGACTGAATATCAATGCAAGTTAACCTGCCTGCCCTATACACTCATTTTAATAATAGTGTATGTGATGTTTATCCTGGTTTTGCCTTGTCCCTATATTCTTCTCTTTTTTGAAAGACTGGGTTTTTAAACATCCAAAATGAAAAGAATGTAGATCTTTTTCTTTACATCAAGCCCCCTTTTTCCCCAGGAATGGCTTCTTAATGGTCTTGATTGGTTGGTTGTGAGGATTTTTTTGATACTCCAAAGATAAGTCTTTGAAACTAAAGGCCTATCCCAAATCCCTGTTTATTTAACTGACCTACTCATTGTCAAAGGTGCTGAAAGTCACAGGTCAATCACGGGTCACCCTTGGTTTCTCATAGGTGTGGCAGAGAAAGCTGCTGTGGTTGTACGTTGAGCGCTGTTTGCTGTTTCCACGTCAGCTCTTATCCCAGCTGTGTTGGCCTCCCTCTCCAAGTGCCTGTGACACTGACACTTCACAAGGAGAGCGGTGTGGTTTCTGCCACTTTCCCTCTCTCCTCCTTCCTACTGCCACGGCAGTGTGGGTTCCAGCACGTAGCGGTGTCTTTCTTAACCCTTGGTTTGGCTTTTCAAGAATCGCAGTAGGTGCTTGGGTGTCGGAAGGCTGCGCTCCCTCACTTATCCTCTGGCAAAAGGAATTGCAAAGCAAGGAAAAAGGGACTTCTCTGCAATGCTAAAGGAAGGGAATGGGGCACTCCAAAGCATTCAGATTGGTCTCAGGAATTATAGCAGCCTGGGTAGCTGTCTGGAGGTGTGTTAAAATGAGTACCAATTCCTTTCCTGTAAAAGGAATATCCAGTTGCAGTTTTATGCTAGATCTTTTTCCTCCTTGGGCCTGTGACATGTGCTGAATTCCCTGTAGACTGACATGCTGATGTTAATCTCCATGGAATTTATTAAAAGATAGGTGAATGTAAAGAATTGGGTTAAAACCGGCATTTTGACAGGTAAACTCAAGTATGATGTTCATCAGTTATAAGACACGGTGAGGTACTGAGGATAGTTAATGGAATTTCCTCTCTGGTAGTGTGAGGGAACGTTACCATAGTTTTAAGGTGTCCTTTTGAAGCCAGTATTGGATACCTCTTGTTTTCCTGCACCTTTGAAAGAGTAGAAATGAGTAGCAGCAGGCATAGCAACTGCCACACAATTAAACGTCACTTCAGGTGAAACCAGAATTGTCCTGTTAGACTGGGGCAACAAGCAAGATATGAAGCAACACCATTTGCCTCAGAAAGAATTCATGGCCTGTGGTTGACCACTTAACTTCTAAGGGAAAGAAACAAAAGACAATCTTTCACACTGAGGGTTTTTTTTTCACATCATTCTCTCCATTCCTCTGTTGTTTGCAGCACATTCAATAAAGCTGTTAAGGAGCTGGGAGAAATCAAGTATGCATTTGCCGTGGGAGCGGCAAAAACCACCGGTGGTATGAAGGACCCGTTTGCAGAAGCAACTTCAGGATGGAGTTTTATCCTCTCTGAGTTGTATAAGGAGACAGGGCAGGGTAACTGGATATTCTAAGAGTTGCACTGAGTTTAATTTCTCTCTTATGAACATAGAATGTATAGTTATTTTAGCCAACTGTGCATAAATACGAGCTTTCTGGTATAGGACGCTAAAACCAGCTGTGAATAACTTGAGATAAACGGAGTTTAACTTGGTCACTGGTATGTTTTAAAGCCTTTTGAAGCACACTGTAAGAGATCACTTGTGGCACAAGAATAAGGAATATATATTGGATAAGGGAGAAGGGTGGTCCCATGCCCTGTGTATTCCAAGTCATCTTTTTACTTACTCTGTTGGATCATGTTTGACATTTTCACAAGCCAAATAAAAATACTGTCTGTTTATCCATTTGTTTGTATATATGTATATAAAAAACAAAACACCCCATTTTGCCATTCTGTATCGGTTGTAGTTTTACCAACTATTCAACACAGCTTTTGTCCATAGATCTCAGTGAAGCACAAGACATCTGAACACAGGACTACGTACTGCGGTAAGACAAGAACTACTGGTCACTGAAATTAGTCCTTAGTGTTATGATTTAAACAGCCAAGAGAAATTTGTAAGCTTTATAGCCCTGTCTAGACCTCTCAAACCTTTAGTTTAGATTTACTTAGTGGAGTCTTAAGCAATCTTGAAGATTGCCATGTAACCTGGGCATTTCTCTGCCAAACACACCTGTTTAATATCCTGCAGTATTGTGGCAAGGGAAGATTTCTGTTCATCTCCTTTCCCTGATTGAATGTTTTACTGAAAACATTTTTTTAGAATAGCTTGTGTACACCGTGATGGCCAGAAATGTGATGTGGTGGTAAAATGCCAGTCTCCTGCTGGATGAGATTTGCCTGAAGGCATACAAGCTGTACTGCAGAGCTGAAAGAAGGGTGCAGGTTGTGGCAATCTTGACACTCCGAAATGTTGACTGAAGCCAGAACTCTTCAGCATAAAGTGTTAAAATCAGAGAATTACATCAGTTTTGTCTGGCTTTACACTAGGAAATTCCAGGGATTTGCTAAAGGCTGGGTTGTGGATCCATCTGGGTTTGAGGTTGGGATTTATTTTTCTTTGATCAGAGCAAGCAGGAAGCAAGCAAATGAAGCACGCCAGACAGGAACACTAATGTAACTCACCTGTTGGTCTGCAGGTGAGTATTTCCAGCTCCAGGAAAGCAACATATTGCTGCCAAATACATCTGCTTACAGAGCATCTGAAATTAATTTAGCTCTTGACAGAGTTTCCTGAAAGTATGCTCTTCTCCATTGCATGGAAATAAACAAATGGGGAAAGGAAGCAAAACCCATTTGCCTAAGCCACCAGGAAACAAAGGTGTGCCAAAGGATTGAGCAGAAAGCATTTTATGTGGGACTGAAACAACAACAGAAATGAGTCCCTGATGTGGCCATGAGCGTGCTCTGCCAATGTCAATACGGAGGAAGACGTTTCTGGGTCTGTGTGCTATTGCTGTCTCTTACAAACACGGGAACAGTTTGGTCGGTTGCCACAGCTGCTTCTCTCACTTCCTGAATGTTATTGGTGAGCTTGATGTGCACAATGGTCCCGTCCTGCGTATCTGCAGGATCACAGAGCGTCTGCCAAGCTCACCCTGCTCCTCTAGCAGACAGTGGTGCAAGACGAAGCCTTGAAAGAAGTTATTCCTTAAAAAAAACCCAAACTCGTACCTGTTCTGAAAACTACACCCAGTTAGCAACCGTTTCTCCTGAAAAGCAAAATCCTGGTTTAGGACAGAAATCGTTGCTGGGCGCTTGCAATGTCTGGGGTTTCTAATGCAGTAATTAGTGTTCTCTTATCAAGCAATTGTGTGTTGATCCACTTTTGTATCCTTGATCTCTCCTCTTTTTTTTTTTTTTTGCAGACACTAGGTATCTTTTAGGCATTGAAAAACAGGAAACGAGAAGAAAAAGTTCAAGCCAGGAGTTGGAGCTGACATGTGTAAACGTGCCAAGCTTTATTTTATATGTCATTTCATCATTTCTTTTTCTACTTAATTTCCCTTGTCTCCATCAGTACAGCACCACGGCTGTCGGATGATGTACAGGAACACTGACCACGAGAGGGCATGAGTGCTCCACAGTTTGTCAATCAGCCGATTTGGAAACGGCCTGGGAGCATCCCTGTCCCAGTGTTTGTGGGAGGCGCTTGCATCACTTCCCTCGAAGCATACCAAAAGCCATCGATGGCCCCTAAAGACTGCCCTACAAAGAATGTTTTTGTGACTGCAGTTCCTCTAGCAGCGTTATTGGGAAATGTTTTTTGTAGCCTGAACTTTCAGGCCAAAAATGGCATTGTGGTGTGAAGGTTACTGCTAGAGTTCTGCACTGCAAACACAAAATTGCAGTTACCTGAGTTTGCAAGTCAGCTGAGCTTCACCTGGATAAAAGTGGGCAGCAAGCAAATATCTTATTACTAAAATTTTTGCTTATAATCAAGTGACTGAGAATGAATATTAGGCAATATTTTGCACAATGTAGAAAAAGTTGTTTCTAACACACCGAACTTCCATCATGCTAAGAATTAGTCTGGTCAGTGCTAAAGATTTCTGAAAAAAATGAAGCATCCCATAGGGTGAAACAGCAGTGAAATTTCACAAGCAGCAGCTCGGGATGACACCGTTTTCTATTCTAGTAGGATTATGGTAAGCTTATTCGTGCACCTATCAATCATTTAAAAGGGCGGATGTCTGACTAACTCAAGTCATCAGTTAGTCATTGCCAGAACTTCTTAAGGGGATAAATAGGGCAGTGCAGTTATTACCCACAACAGTCTAAGTCAGCAGTGTCATCTCAAAATGTCATTCGTTAGTGGAATCTAATGAACTCCAAGTGCAGTGAAGAACAAGCATTAACTTTTCATAGAGGTCTTCAGTTCCCTTTGCAGAACAGTCATTGCTGTCTGACACCTAACAAATGTAACCAACTTTGCACAAGTCTGAGGCAGTTTTAAGTGTAGGATCATAGAATCACAGAATGGTTTGGGCTGGAAGGGATCTTAAAGATCATCCAGTTCCAACCCCCCTGCCATGGGCAGGGACACCCTCCACTAGCCCAGGTTGCTCCAAGCCTCATCCAGCCTGGCCTTGGACGCTTCTAGGGAGGGGGCATCCACAGCTTCTCTGGGCAACCTGTTCCAGTGCCTCCCCACCCTCTCCGGGAAGAATCCCTTCCTGATATCTGATCTAACCCTCCCCACTTTCAATTTAAACCCGTTACCCCTTGTCCTGTCACTACAGACCCTTGTAAAAAGTCCCCCCCAGCTTCCCTGTAGCCCCTTCAGGTACTGAAAGGTTCTATAAGGTCTCCCCGGAGCCTTCTCTCCTCCAGGCTGAATAAACTGTGCATACAAAGAGACAGCAAGAGACAGGAGTTTGTTTCCTGCATTCTTCCACTCGCTTTTTGTGGCCACGCTCTGTTTCGGGCTGTG